GATTTAAGAAGAGTTACTTCCTTATGAAGGTCAGTAACAGAAATCTTCGCAGAAAAAGAATGTTTATGCTGAAGAAGACGATTTAATTCTTTCATAGAATAGTCAATATTATTGATAGGAGGAGTAGGATTTGAAGAACTAGGTTTATTAAACTCAAGGTTTTCCAGAATTTCAGAACAAATAACAGGATCCTTGATTTTTTGTAAAAGTTTTAAAACATTTTCATCAGTTAAAACATTGATATTGAGATCCTGAAATTGGGAAAGGAGTTTATAAAACTCATCATTATTGTCCGAAGAAGTGTTATTTTGAATAATATTAAGACAATTTTTTGCACAAGGCTGGCCAATAGCACATGTGTCACAAGGAGAAAACGAAGAATCAGCTGAGCTAGAAGATAGATAAGAGTCTTCATTATGAATGTCATGGACACTAGCATCGGAAGTAGAAGCCGAATCAGAATCAGACTCGTCATCAGAATTTTTGAAATTCAGAAAAATGTTTAAAAGAGAATCTTTAGTACTTTGATCAATATTTAAACTATTTATTTTTTTCTTAGTCCAACAATTTGCTGAAGAATGGCCAATCTTGTTGCAGTTTTGACAAATAATTTTGTTCTTTTTAAAACCTGAAGAATTCTTAAAATACTTTTTAGATTTAATAAAATCAGGTTTTTTAGAATCTTCAGCTTTGTTAGAATTTTGCAAATTTTTGTTAAAAGATTTTCTCTTAAAACGTTTTTTAGAATGACGATAATTAGAATCTTTATCGCGAGTTTTATGAAATTTTCGTTTAGGTTTCTTATAAGGAACCTCCATACCAAATTGGTCACAAAAATCACCAAGCTGTTTTCTTTCAAGCAAATTTTGCTTCCTGATTTGATGTTTTAATTTCAAATCATTGCAAAGGGAAAGTCCTTCTGCAATACAAGTACTGATTAGCTGACCATAAGTATAATCATCATAATGAATAGAAATACCATCTTTTTTAAGAACCTTACGAACTCTTTCAGCAAAAAGATGAGGGAGATCGTCTATAAATTTGGCCTTCCAATGACTGTTATTACAGTCTTTTAGCTCAAAGATACGAGAGAGAAAAGTATCTTTATACCATCTAAACTCAGAGAGAGTCTTGCAACGGAGATTACTGATAAGGGTTCTAATATTTTCACAATCAGCAGAGAACCTACCAGTAAAATGCTCTATAAGAGTAAGAATTAAAGGATAAACAACATTTGTTGTTTCCTGGCCATCTTCATCCTTAACCGAGTTAAGAATTTGGTTTTTCTGTTCCAGGGGAATATAATTATCCCACCAACCTTTGAGTTGGCCAGTAAAACCTGCTATAATCATTTTGGCAATATTTATATCAGTATTACCTGTGTTTTTACAAACAGTACTATACATAAACATACGATGAGCCATATTATAAATATGTTTGTCAGTGAAACCATCAAGACTCCACTCATAAATACATTTACCATTATAACTATTGTTAATGATATACTCTTGTTCTTCATGAAGAACATCCATCGGAGTAGGACGATTATAATAATATTTATTAAGGCTAGGAGTTTTGGCCCATTTCATTTTATGAATTTGGCCATCAATCTGTTCATGCTGAGGAATCTCAGATTGTGAGTTTAAATGAAAATCCTTGTTGAGCATAGAAAGAGAGGGTTTAGTAATATGCAAATGAGAGAGCTTTAAATCAAGTTGTTGCATAAAATCTTCAGCTGGAGATTTGAGTTTAAAATCTTTTATCTCAAGAGGAGGCTGAATAGTATTTGAAGTTAAAATAATTTTCTCAGAAGTAGAAGGAATATCAATCTTCTTTTGCTGAGTTTCCTCGATTTTGGAAAGTTTTTGAAGGATGAGGGAAATATTATCCTCAATAGAAAAAAGTTGCTCTCCAACAATTTTCAATAAAAGATTAGTATAATTTTGCTTTTCAAGTAATTCATTTATATGTAATGAAGTAACAGAAAGAGTATTATCTTTGATAAGATTAGAAAAAGCAGAAAATTTTAAGAAAGAATTATTATTTTTCATGAGAAAAGGAGACTGAGGAGGATAAATAGTAGATTTAACATCTCCATTAAGAAGTTGATAATCCCTTTGCAGAACATTTATAAAATGTTTCACATGAGTATGAAAAAACCAAGGAATAAAAGAGAAGGTCTCATTTTCCTTAGTACAGAATGTATAAAATTCTGCAGAGAAATTAGCAATTTCCTCTTTTGTAAAGTTTTCAATATACCAAGTCCGAAAAGGAGCCCATTTCGGATTACCATAATAATCCTTGCAGACAATTTGTCTAGCAGGAGAACCATGAGTGAAATCAATTTTTCCCTCACTAGTGACCCAACTTCTTGTAGGTGTGAAAATCATCAAGAAATTAAAGAGTAAAGTCGGACATAGTCTCTATAATCCTTTGAGGTTGCCTATTGCTAAGGTTACCTATTTGGTTAACCTGATTGTTATGAACAATACCATTTCTATGAACTCTAAGTTCATCATTTGGTTGTTGAGAAGAGACTTCAATATGCTCTTCTTGCTCCAAAGGTTGATTTTGGTGGTCAAAATTGTCTCTTAGATAAGAGGTTGAGGCCCTAGAAGGCTGAGAACCAAAAGGAGAAATATAACTATGGTTACCATGAGATAGAGAGTGAGATCTTAAAAGAGGTCTCTTTTCTGAATAGGCACTCCGAGGATTATCAAACTGAATATAGACAGTTCCATCATCTGTCTGGGTGATATTATTAAAATCACTCTGAACAATAGGTTGTCTGGGAATGTTTCTAGCGAGAAACCATCCTTCTGGGAAAACTATTTCATCCCATTTGATAGATCTCCGAGTTTGAATCTTAGATCTATTAAAATTGGTCTCTATAAGAATAGTTTCATTAATATCCTTATCAACTCTTTTACATCTTGGGTTAAGAGTAAATAAAGGTTTAAAATATATCCTATAACATATACAGAAAACTTCTGTTCCTGCAGAATAGTTATAACCATGAGTTTTGACATTTAATGTCAAAGCATCCAGAATATTAACATCAGTTAAGGATAAACTTAAATTAGGATATACATCGAAATAAACAGGACCATGAGCCAGACTGGATTGGATCATTCCAATTAAGGATTGTTGCCAATCAAGGTTTCTTCCATCTCTAAGAGCTGCAAGAAAGCTTTCTGGTAATCCTTCAAGAGTGAGCGGTTTAAATGCAATTTGGACAAGACCAATGTGTAAAAACTTATGAGTTTTTAAATAAGGCATAATATCTTTTTTGTTTAAAAGACGAATCATCATTTCATCCTTATGAAGAGGAATTAAAGATTCTGTGGTTTTAACAATATGTTTTAAACCAAGTTTTTCAAAAGTGCCTATTTTATAAATGAGTTTAGGCTCAACTCTGGGAATGGTCCAATGATCAAGAAGATCAAGACTCTGATACCATCTATGTCCCAGATCTAACAAAAATAGTCTTATATATTGATGGATATAATTATAAACGAATACAAAATCCTAACCATTATATCTTCTTTCATTATTTAACATAATAAATAAATGAAGAAAGTAAAATGAAAACTACATATGGCGGCTGTTTGGAGAAAATAAGGGTGACATTCAAAACCTAAAAGGCTTATTGTGAATTTCCAAAACAGCACTTCTAATTTATTTGTATTTCAAAAGCACCCCTCCGGATTTCTTTTCTTCATTATTGCCCATATAAAGCTTGTTGAATCTTCTTTTGGTCCACCACTAACGATTTTGTTCATCTGTCTTTCATATTTCTTGATTTGATCCAACTTTGTTCTATTTTTTTCATTTTCATCCAACCCAAAAAAGTTAATCCATGACTTCAAAATTCAAATGTCTGTTAAAATCTGAACAAAGTCAAAAAAAATACTGAAATAATATCCCCAACGAAGATAAAATGAAAATTAGTTAAAAATCAAATCAAATAAATGCAAAAATGCATTTATAAACTACCATTACGCAGACATAATATGCACTTAACCATCGAACACCATGACTTGAACCATAAACGACATAAAGGGCAGAGGGATCAAATCATGTGGTTTCATCCTCCTGTGTCATTGACAAACAGGCGTGAGCGTATGTGTTTGCAGTCATGAATAACACAAAGCGAGTAAGCAAAGAGAGAGTATGTGTGGTTGTGATTTCTGTGTTTGCTTTACAACATCATAACAACAATGCCAAGGGCTCTAACAAAGGTGGCAGTGGCATATAACAGAGTTGGTGGTGCAAAGAAACTAGTAGGATTTACTACACCATCCTACCGTTTCTTCACTTCATTTCCACTTCAGGTATAGGTTTAGGGACGAGATTGGTGGTGGTGTTTGAACAATAAAAAGAATCGTAGAAGAAGAAAGGATAAGGATAATTGACTGGTGATGTTTAAATATTAACAAATCATATAAGAGGAAGGATGACGGTGATGGTGTTTGAATAGTAACAAGTTGGAAAAAGGGAAGGGGGTGGGTACATAAATGGGTAAATGATAAAAAAAAACATAGATAAAAGAACAATACAAAGTGTTAATCAAAATGACAACTTTAAGGTTGTTTGTTTATCTCTTAATAGTTCTACTAAAAGACAGTTTCTGAATCATTAAGAGGTGAATCACGTTTGACAAAAGAAAAGTTTGTCTCTTAATGGTTTTAAAATCTATTGAATAATTTCGCATCCTGAACCACTCTTAACCATTTAGCGTCATAATTTCATTGTAAGTAATTACTAAATAATTATATTTCATTTTGTACTATATCATGAGAGTCTCTTAATCATTCTGATCACTTAATCATTATACACCAAATTATTCAACAACTGTAGTAAAAATGCAAATTTTAATGACAATATATGTAATGATTGTAGGATTTGCTCAAACTTATATATTATTAAATTGAGTTCTCAATTAAAGAGTAGGATTTTCAGCTAAACAGCCCAAAATGGAAACTAATAATATGCACTCATACATCTGTGTTTCAATGGAGTCAATGATGCCTCTCAAGCTCATCTTCTTCCTCACATTCTTCATCCACCTACACCGGTACTCATCGGCCTCTATACTCCCCAAAGAAGCTCACCCTACAAAATCGGGCTACCTCACGGTCAATGCCACCACCGGCTCAGCTATTTTCTATGCCTTTTATGAAGCCCAAAATCCCAATGACACTTCTCTTTCTCAAACCCCACTTGTTATTTGGCTTCAAGGTGGACCTGGTTGCTCCTCCATGACCGGAAATTTCTACGAACTCGGTCCATGGAGAGTAACACCTTCTATGAAGCAAAACGTCAAACACCTTGAACTCCAACCTAACCCTGGTTCTTGGAACCGAATATTCGGCCTTCTTTTCCTTGATAATCCGATTGGAACCGGCTTTAGCATCGCTTCGACACCGGAAGAGATCCCAACAGATCAACAAGCTGTATCAAGGCATCTGTTCATTGCGATAAGAAAGTTTATTGCTTTAGACCCGTTGTTTAAATCTCGTCCAATTTATATTACAGGTGAGAGTTATGGTGGAAAATACGTGCCATCCATTGCGTATTACATCCTCAAAAGAAACCCCCTTTTAACCCCTTCGAAACGTGTCAACTTACATGGATTGGCAATCTCAAATGGGTTAACCGATCCGGAAACCCAAGTGGGTACTCATGCTTTGCAAAGTTACTATTTTGGTTTGATCAATGAAAAACAGAAAACCCAATTGGAGAAGCTTCAATTCGAGGCTATTCAGTTAACAAAAGCTGGTAACTGGAGTGATGCTACGGATGCAAGAACCAATGTGTTGAGTTTTCTACAAAACATCACAGGTTTAGCTACTTTGTTTGACTTCAGGAGGCATCGTCTTTATGATACTGATTGGGTGGTAGACTACTTGAAGGACCCAGAGGTTAAAAAGGCATTGGGAGTGGATGAGTCAATGGTTTTTGAGGAGTGTAGTGATGTGGTTAGTGCAGCACTCCATTCAGATGTGATGAAGAGTGTGAGGTTCAAGGTGGAGTATCTTGTTAAGAACACTAAGGTATTGCTGCTTCAAGGGCAGTGTGATTTGAGAGATGGGGTGTTTTCTGCTGAATCTTGGATGAAGAAGATGAAATGGGAGGGGCTTCAGAAGTTTCTGGATGCAGAAAGAGATGTTTGGTATGTGAACGGTGTGCTTGCAGGTTATGTGCAGAAGTCAGATAATTTGAGCCATGTGGTGGTGTTAGCGGCTGGGCATTTCGTGGCAACCGATCAAGCTGTGAATTCTCAAGCCATGATAGAAGATTGGATTCTTGATAGAGGTTTGTTTGTCAATAAGCACATTCAAAATCTATTTACTGACATTTGAAATTTTTGTTGTACTAAATTTGAGAGCATTGGAATGACACTCCTGATGAAAATCTATGGATTTGCTTACCATCAATCATATACTCTGATCTTCAAAACTGTTATCGTCGTTTTCTTGACGTTTGTACTATGAATGAACATTTGTTCGATTGATTCTCATGAGGTCATTCTGGTTGGTTTGAGTCTTTGCATGATGCTCGCATGGTTTATGTTTAACGGTTGGATAAAAGGGGGAGGTATGTTTGCTAATATGGAAATAGAAGGTCTACCCTTGAACTTTCATCTCCGTCATGTTAAATGTGAGATTTTGAACAGGGGTCTAAATTTACATGTGTTTAGGGTCTTTTTATCGACTTGTGTAAAACTATGGCCGGAATTATTTAGGTTCAAACCATTAATTGTTTGGTTTTGGGTTCAAATTAATAATGATTTAAGTTTAGTTTCAGATTGTTAATCGTTTTAGGTTTAACCTATTTTTGTTCTTAACATATAATCTCCGATATCTCATTTATACAATATACTCAAAATTTTTGGATGTAGCAGGACCTCCAAAAAGTTTGGAACGTCCCTGCATGCACGATGCACCGATCCTTAGAATTGTACTTGATTGAGTCTGACGTTGCCTAGACTTGGAACCCTCTTTTCTTCTTATGTGCTCTTTTGAAAAGTAATTTAATGGGGTTCCACACTCATATCGGATAAACTTTGACCATTTCTACTCCTCCTCCTAAATTGCCCTTTTTGGAGAATAATACGGGGGCTTTCACATATTCTCACAGTACTTGTGGTTGTTAAAGATCTAAACTTTTGTAAGAATAGCGCTTAACCCGGTGCACATCAGTGGTGCATAGTACTTATATTATATATGATTGGAGAATTGGGCTCTTTTGGAGAATAACATGGGTTCCATATATTCTCACATAGTACCTGAGCTAATTTCTACCATTTTAAGGACTCAACACTATATCATATCGACTAGATTTGGACCAAATCTACCCGATATATGTTGGATCCTTCATTTTTTCCTCAATGACTCTTATGGAGCGTAATTTGAAGTTCCACATATTCTAATAGTACGTGTGGTTGTTAATTAAAGCTCTTAACTTTTGTAAGAACAACACTACCGCTTATATTTTGTAGAGTAATATGGGGTTCTATGTATTTTAAAATTACTTGTGGTTGTCAAAGCTCTAACACTACTGCTTATATGATCTATGATTAGAGAATTGGACTCTTCTTAGAGTAATTTGAGGTTCCACATATTCTCACATGGTATCAAAGCTAATATCTATCACTCTAGGAACTCGACACTCTGCGGCAATCTGTTAGAGGAAGGGGCGAAGTAGAGTTTC